GAGGATGCAAAAGACTTCAAATTATATAAAGACAAGTTCTAGGTCAAAAAGGAAATAAACAGTCACAGAATGTCATGGTTAGAAGAACTAAAAGGTCAAATGTTATAGTCAACCACCTGATGCTTGAGGGCCCCCATTAAACACTAACTAGTTTGCTTTTCGTTTACAGTAGTTTTGTTTTGTTTTTTTGTTTGTTTCTTTTTTCATTGTAATTTTTTTTCTTTTTTTCTTTTTTTTTTAATTTATTTACTTTTAAAATACAATTTGTCTCTGCCTCCCCCCTCCCTTGCCCCCTCCCACCTTCCCTCCCTCAGCTCTTCCCCTTTGGTTTTGTCCATGAGTCCTTGCTATATGTCCCTTGACTTTCCCCTTCCCTTCCCTTTCCCTGCCCCCCCCCTTCCTCTTGTCTCTGTTGATTTCTTTTCCTTTCAGTGTTGCTGGTCATATTTTCCTTGCTTCTTTGCATTGCTGGTTAGGTTCCGCTTATAGGTGAGATCATATGGTATTTGTCTTTCGCCCCCTGGCTTATTTCGCTTAGCATGATGCTCTCCAGTTCCATCCATGCTGTCGCAAAGTTTAGTACTTCTTTTTTTCTTTCTGCTGCGTAGTATTCCATTGTGTATATGTACCATAATTTTTTGATCCAATCATCTACTGATGGGCATTTAGGTTGCTTCCAACACTTGGCTGTTGTAAATTGTGCTGCTATGAACGTTGGGGTGCATAGGTTCTTTTGTATTGGCGTTTTGGTGTTCTCCGGGTATAGTCCCAGCAGGGGAATCGCTGGATCAAAAGGCAGTTCCATTTTCAGCTTTCTGAGGAAATTCCACACTGCTTTCCATAGTGGCTGCACCAGTCTGCATTCCCACCAACAGTGGACTAGGGTTCCCTTTTCTCCACAGCCTCGCCAGCACCTGTTGTTTGTGGATCTGTTTATGATGGCCATTCTGACCGGTGTGAGGTGGTACCTCATGGTGGTTTTGATCTGCATTTCTCTGATGGCTAGTGATGCTGAGCATCCTTTCAAATGCCTCTGGGCTCTCTGTATCTCCTCCTTAGAAAAGCATCTGCCCAGGTCCTTTGCCCATTGTTTGATTGGATCGTTTTTTTGTGCTCTAGACTTCATTTTGATTTTTACAAGATTTTTACTCAACACATTTTTTTCAACAAATATTTGAGCGTCTACTATGTTTAAGGGATGTGTTGAGCATATTGGTTTACACAGCAGTAAATAAAAATCTTAGTTTTCTCAGGACAGACAGGCCAGTCAGCAATGAAATAAATATTACATTAGCTGGTATTGGGTGGCATGAGGAAATATCGAGCAGGGTGCGAGTGCTGGATGTACTTCTTGTCATCTCTTCTCACTGCTGCCTATTCTGTCATGTGTGGTCACTGAGTTTTACCTAGCTATTTTCCTCCAGATGGAAAAATGCCATCTTGAGGAGAAAGATGCTGTAACTACCCCTGTAGCTAATATCCTCTTGCCCACCTGTTTGAATCCTTCTGGGATCGTACAGCCAGGAATGGGGTATTGATATACGCCCATCTGATTTCTCTGTGGGAATTTTCTTCATCGTGATCGCCCCGTTGATGGCCCCTTGAGTTCGTTTATCAGGGTTCCAGTCCCCTCACCACCTGGGTTGGTGACATTGTTTTATTTTGCATTTCTCTGATTATGCGAGCCTTTGAATGTTATTTCATCTCCTTATTAGCTCTTGGGGTTTTGCCTTTCTGTGAATGCCTCCTCATGTCTCTCATGTCTTTCTATTGAGCCCCAGACTCTTTTGATTAGCAAGAGTCCCTTACACTGTGTAGATTCTAATCCTTGGTTAGTTTTTGATGTAACACTTTATTACATTTATTTTAAGATGCATTTTTTTCCCCCTCTATTTTAAGATCTCTGAATTGGAGGTGAATTTCACCGCTGCTGTAAATCATTGTCAGCCAGGGGGGCCTGGTGGTAGGGGGTTGTCATTGCCTGTGTACCAGTGAACTTGGTCATGACTATGTTTACTGCCAGCACTTCAGCTGAATTATGTGCACTGCTGGTAAGTAAATAAGCTGGTAGCAGGAGAAGGGGCCAAACCACTCTGAGGAGAATGAACAGAGGCTGCTGTGAGTAAGGCTTTGAACATGCCTTTGTCAGACTTCTGCTGCCTTTGGAGAATACTGGCCTATTTTCTAGAAACGTGGTTCAAATGGCAAAAGATGTAACTAGGAATATAGTCCAATAGGAACGTTCCAGCATTAAAACTTAGTGAATGGGTGACATTGTCTTGTCAGGTAATCTCAGAGGTGGTAGGGGACCATCCTGCTGAGCAAGGTCTGGGTGTTCAGTGGCAGGGAGCAGAGGAGTATTGTGTGATTATCCATGGTGTCCGCGACTTAGCAGAGAGCAGATCCTCAGAACTCGGGCAAAGAGGTTAGGAATGCTTTGACTGATTTAATTGCTTTGTATGGTTCTTTTTATATGTACAAAAGATTATAACAGAAACCTCCGTCTAAGAATGCCCAGCAGATCTTTTCATGAAATACAACCCATGAAATTCTAGATGGCAAGAAAACATCATGACCTTTTAGTCCGCAGTGTTTTCTTCCTTAATGGTAGATAAAATACAGTTGGTGGTTTCTTAGAGTTTGTGAAATACAGTAAATCTCTTTATTTCCCATCTGTTCACATTGTCTTTGGTGTCTTCATTGAACCACGATTCTTAATTTTGACATGATCAGATTCATTCATTTTGGCCTCATGTTCTGCGTGTTTTCAGACTTGTTTAAGAGAACATTTCCTACTCCCACGGTCACAAAAACATTTTTCTACATTTTGTTTTCCTGTCTTTTCCAAAATATCTTTTCAGTTAGTAACATTTGGAATTTACCTCTGTGCATGGTTATACAACTTTATTTTTCTCCATCGAGAAATATCTACACGTAACTTAGTTGTTTGTGGGGCAAATGCTATTATCTGCCAGGTTCTTATGTATATACAGTTCTCTTGAGTTCTAGATTCTCCCATTGGCCTAGTTGTCTATTCTCACACCAGCCCCAAACAGTATTAATGGGCTCTGTAGTATTTGTTTCTTTCTGATAGAGCACCATTCTTTCTAAGGTCACTTAGCCATTTGGGAACCTTTACGCATCCATGCAATTTCTGGCTCTCACTAATGGTGAAGCTGTTGGTTTGGTTGGGAAGGATTTTACAATATTTTCCCTCCTTCCCATTCTCTGAGTCTTTGGTTGTGGAGATGTCTTTCTAGACTGGTTTTACTTGCTTCTGCAAGGTTATGCTCCTGTTATGCACCAGGATTCCTGCGTCAGGGACATACCTGCGTGGAGCACGGGTATGAACCTTCTGTTTCTCACTGGAAACTGTTTTCCTTCCCTGTCCCAAGTGCTGGACAAAAATCAGGCCCTGGCCTCCCTGGGTTGTGCTGCCTCTTAACTGCAGTCAGGGACTTCTGGGCGTGTGTATTCATGATAGTTTTTTTTTTTTCTCTCTGTGTTGCAGTTTTTGGTGAATGGCCTCAACTTGCACAGCAGCAACCATTACTACAGGCTTGTCTATGTAGGTGTTTTGTCTCTTAATCTTTTTGTGAGTCAGAACCTTCACATGAGGGAGGACTGGGGAAACTTTAAGAAACCCCGAGAAGGGTGAAATTAAATGACACGATGGATTCGCAATCACAGTGGGTGAAAAGAGAAGCCCTCAAAGCTGTAGAGGGAAGGAAAAAGGTATTTAGAGAGCCCCTCTTTGGGCCAGGCCTGTTTATAATGGAAATAACCTTGAGTAAAAGGTTCTCTCTGCACTTTATAGATGAAGAAACTGAGGCTCACAGAGCTCAGGTAACGTCCCCAAGGTTCTGAAGCCATCAGTGGACACATTGTCGATGGGATGTCTGACTGATTCTACAATCCATGCTCTTTTCACTGAGTCATCTTGTGTTTTGTGAATTTGTGTCTGCCTTTTTGACTTTATTTGAAGTTGTCAATCATTTCCTTCTCTGGTTTTCCAGCATCTCCCTCCCCCGCCCCAGAGAAAACCAGCTCCTTTTAAACATCCCGATGACAGCAGTTTCTCAGTCTTTTCTGGACACATTGCATTTTCAAGAGCAGCCCAGCTTGCAGACAAGTGCAAATGTGTAACTGAAATAGGTTGCGGGGACAGTCCTTTTCTTTGTGCTGTGCTGTGCCTTCTGATAATCCCAATCCATCTCATTCTTGTGGTTGCCTTTAGTTAAAATAGGCTGCTTCTGTCGGATTCAACTGGTCTGACAACCCTGTCATTGCTTGCGACCTGTAGATTGGCCCTGTGTTTCTGAAGCGTGGCTATAGCTAACATTTGTCAGCCAGGAACATGATGGGCTCTCTGTCGGGAGTCCACCTCCTGTCGCAGCCGTACTCGGGTGCACGTGCCTGTGGAATCGGCCACGCTTTTCCCTGTAAGAAAAAAATTGTTGAGGGGGGAGTGCAGGGGAGGAATTTCTGGTGAATAGTATTTCAGCATTAACTCTAGAAATTGGGTACGTATCCCACTTATTCTTTTAGTGGCTCCCTACAGGTAACATGTATTTTTAAACCACTTCACTGTAAGATTGTAACTTGCTCTGCCTATTCCTGCCTTTGATCTTGGTCTTTTTCTATTTTCGTACTCCAGAATGTTTCTGAGATACTTTATTTAGCTATTCATTCTTAAGTGGATTTTTAAGTCAAAACAAAGATTTGCCATCATCCATTTTGGAATTCTAGTTCACTTCTTAATTTAAGTGTACAGGGTCCCCTATTAAGAATAGAATTACTGGGTGAGTATTTGATTTTTAATATAGCATTGTATAATTTTACTTTTTAAAAAGAAAAGTAAAAGCTAGGAGACCAGTAGGCAAATAGGATGGAGTATCCACACTTGTGTGTCCTGTCTGCTGCCACGAGGTAATGCGGTAGTGAGTCTGCTATAACACAAATGTCAGCTGAAGTAAACCACTCTTGTCTCTTTTCCGCAGCCCTCCAAGCCACAACATCATAGTGAATGGAAAAGAATGTATCAACTTTGCCTCATTTAATTTTCTTGGATTGTTGGATAACCCTAGGGTCAAGGTAAGTAGCATCAAAGCTGAAGTGGAAAGATAGTATGGCTGACTTAAGAAACTGGACATAAAATCAAAGGCAAATGCAGAACATGAGAAAGGGCTCTGCGAGCGTCTGCCATTACTCCTTTCTGGAAGAGCTATGACCCGGATTTCCACAAAGGGTGGGGGGCATGTCTGTTGTGGCTTAGTGTTGTATGAGCCGGACCTGGTCATCGTCAGAGATGTGTCTGGGAAATTACTTCATTTCCTGTTGAGATTGTTGGCCAGTACATGTTTTTGAGAACAGGCTTATGTCCACAGATGTCAAAAAGTATAAAAGCATTGTGTTAACCAGCATTTGATAATCATGTTAGTAGAACATTTCCATGTTTTAAGTTATATCCCTATGTCCCCAAGTCTCTATGTCTGTCTTTTCTTTATATCCTGTTATGATATCATAGTTCCTAGAAAGAAAAGAAAATGGAGGGGAGAGTTACATGGGTTAAAGAATAAGAAATGCCCGTTTTGAACTCTTATTTTCTCTTCTTCCACAAAGGCAGCAGCTTTGGCATCTCTAAAGAAGTACGGTGTGGGGACTTGTGGACCTAGAGGATTTTATGGCACATTTGGTACGTTTCTGTTGTATTTTTCAGGCTACTGCTTTCAAGAATGAAGATTCCATTTGACTTCAAATTCCTGGGAATAGATATCCTTAATTAGTGGTGGCATTAATCTGGTGCTATTTCTTACCTGGCTTTCTAGAACATTGTGTGTTTGGAGCCTTTGGATGTCATTTGTGGAGAAGACCCATAGTTACATTAGGTGTGTAGTCCTTAGGACAAAGCCTGTGCTGCGTTTCCACATGCCCCTAGAGGCAGTGATGTGAGGAGACTGTTAGTGCCTGTGGCACACAACGGTTGCAAGGGGAAGAGTCCTGTGTGGGTGGCTGTGCTCTTCGAAGCTGTGTAGGAATGGGGATCTTCCATGTCTGTTTCTCCAGTGTGGAGGGTACCATCCTTGTCTGCATGCAGCCAGGTGGCAAAAACAGGGGAGGAGTGCAGGGCAGCCGTATGGTTTTTGGCAGGCAGGTGGCGCTGCACATCATTCTGTTCACATTGCCTTGGTGAGACCATATCCCAGGTCAGGCCTGGCTGCAAAGGGGACAGGGAAATAGCTCTAGCTGCACAGCCAGAACATTACAGGGAGAATGGCAAGAACAGATTGAGGAGTGTTAGGCTCTGTAGCTCTTTTCCTTCTGGAATGAAGATGAAGGGTCATTGGATTTGTGTGTGGGTGACCCTGGGAAAGGCTAGCTAAATATTCGGATGACTGTGTGTGATTTCAAACCCTATGAGCTCCCTCACTGAGACTTGTCAAGGACAACCATGGCATTTTCTGGTTGTGTTTATGAAATGTATATTGTTATTTTTCTCTTTTGAAAATTTTGAAAATGTTAAATAATTGTTCAACTGAAAGTATTCCTTGAAATATCATTCTGGCTTACCGAATGTCAGGGTGTGGGGAAAGTAGAGCTGACGACGTCTCTTCTGCCCTCATTTCCACTTCTGGGTCTTTGTGTGTTTTTCTCTTTTCTTTCTTTTTTTCCCCACTATCAGTTAAGATGTTTTTATTTAACAAAGCATCTTTATTCCTTAGTATGTTTAGCAATTAAATTGTTTATATCGGAAACAGGTGGCAAGAGTTAGTGTTAAAGAATCCTACAGCTGTGACTTCCTGCCAAGATGAAGGTGTAGGTAGGTACACTTTGCTTCCTCACACAACCAAAGAAGGACGACAACAAATTTCAAAACCAAAAACAGCCAGAACTGCCAGAAAATTGAACTGTATGGAAGTCCAACAACCACGGAGTTAAAGGAGAAACATTCATCCAGACTGGTAGGAGGGGCAGAGACAGGAAGCTGGGGCAGAGAGGATGCACAGCAAGGCATCGGACTGGGCAGGCTAGGCGGCGGCTGGCGGACCGGGCCGTCCCACATTCGTATTTGGATCAACTGAAGGAACAACTGGGGAGCGAGACAGACTGCGCAACCCATGGTTCCAGTGCAGGAAACTAAAGCCTCAAAACCTCTGGCTGTAAAAATCCGTAGGGGTTGCGGTGGCGGGAGAAACTCCCAGCCTCACAGGAGAGTTCATTGGAGAGAGCCACAGGGTCCTTGAATGTACGCAAACCCACCCACTCGGTAATCAGCAGCAAAAGGGCCCACTTTACTGGTGGGTAGTGGGGGAAGCAAGTAAAAGTTGGGTGGGAGCAAGCAAGTGGCAATGTTCCCTCTCTCACCCCTTCCCCACATACAGCGCCACAGTGCAGTGAAGGCGGTTGCCCCAACCTGGTGAATACCTAAGGCTCCGCCCCGTACAATGTAACAGTCGCACTAAGACAAAGAAATGTGGCCCAAATAAAAGAATAGATTGAAACTCCAAAAAAGGAACGAAGCGCCAAGGAGCTAGACAACCTATGAAGTGCAGAGTTCAAAACACCGGTAATCATGATGCTCACAGAAGTGATTTGCGTATGGCCGCAAAATAGACGAAAAAGTGAAGGCTATGCGAAGTGAAATAAAGCAAAATATACAGGAAACCAACAGTGAAGGGAAGGAAATCAGACTCAAATCAACAATTTGGAGCAGAAGGAAGAAATAAACATTCAACTGGAACAGGGAGAAGAAACTAGAATTCGAAAAAATGAGAAGAGGCTTTGGAAGTCTGGGACAACATTAAACATTCCTGCCTCCGAATCATAGGGGTGCCAGAAGGAGAAGAGGAAGACCAAGAATTTGAAAACTTATTTGAAAAAATAATGAAGGAGGACTTCCCCAGTCTGGCAAAGGAAATGGACTTCCAGGAAGTCCAGGAAGCTCAGGAAGTCCCAAAGAATTTGGACCCAAGGAAGCACACACCAAAGCACATCGTAGCTACATTACCTGAATCAAAGATAAGGAGAGAATCTTAAACACAGCAAGAGGAAAGGAGACAGTTACCTACAAAGGAGTTCCCACAAGACCATCAGCTGAATTCTTAAAAGAAACCTTGCAGGCAAGAAGGGGCTGGCAAGAAGTATTCAAAGTCATGAACGGCAAGGACCTACATCCAAGATGACTCTATCCAGCAAAGCTATCATTTAGATTGGAAGGGCAGATAAAGTGCTTCCCAGATAAGGTAAAGTTAAAGGAGTTCATCATCACCAAGCCCTTATTATATGAAATGTTAAGGGGACTTATCTAAGAAAAAGAAGAAAATCAAAACTATGAACAGGAAAATGACAACAAACTCACAACTATCAACAAATGTACCTAAAAAATAAAAACAAACTAAGCAAACAACTAGAACAGAAACAGAATCACAGAAATGAGATCACACGGAGGGTTATCAGAGGGGACAGGGTGGGGGGAGAATGGGGGAAAAGGTGTAGGGAATAAGCAGCATAATTGGTAGGCGCAAAATAGACTGGGGGAGGTTAAGAATAGTGTAGGAAACGGGAAAGCCAAAGAACTTACATGTACGACCTGTGGACACGAACCCCGGGGTGGGGGGATGGTGGTGCTGATGCGAGGGGTGGTGCAGGGTGGAAGGGGATAAAGGGGGGGAAAAATGGGACAATTGTAATAGCACAATCAATAAAATATACTTAAAAAGATCTTACATCTGGAAAGGATCTTAAAAATCTTGTACTCCAGCATCCCAACTATTCATAATGTAAATAGAAAGCCCAGAGAGGTTATGCGACTTCCTCACAGTCACACAGGTCATCAACCTCAACCCTAAAACTGGAAACCTAGCATGCTGACTCCTAATCTTATTTTTTTCTCGTTGAGTAATTCTTTTCTTAAATATTTTTTTAATTTTTCAGTTATATTTGTCATATAATATCATACTAATTTCAGGTTTACAACATTGATTTGTATAACTTCTGGTCACCCTGATAAGTCTAGTGCTCATCTGACTCCATACATAGTTATTATAATATTATTGACTGCATTCCCTATGCTGTACTTTACATCACTGTGACTAATTTTTAACCGCCAATTTATAGTTCTTAATTCCTTCACCTTTTTCACCCATCTTCCCAAACCCCCCTCCCATCTGGCAACCATCTATCTGTTCTCCATATGTATGAGTTTATTTTTGTTTTTTTGCTCATTTCTTTTGTTGTTTTTTACATTCCACATGAAAGTGAAATCATATAGTACTTGCTTTTCTTCATCTGACTGACTTCATCTCGCCTAATCCACTCTTAAATCCAGTGAGATTGTGCAAATGGCAAGATTCATTCTTTTTCATGGTTAAGTTATAGTCTATTGTATATATGTACCACTTCTTCTTTAGCTGTTTGCCTGTTGATGGGCACTGAGATCGCTTCCATATCTTGGCTAGTGTAAAAAATGCTGCAAAGGACATAGACGTGCATATGTCTTGAATTAGTGTTTCGGGTTCCTTTGGATAAATTCCCAAAAGAAGAATTGTTGGGTCCTTCTCTGTCTTTTCTTATAGCCTTTGTTTGAAAGCCTATTTTTTTGGCCCTGTGGCTGGTGTGGCTCAGTTGGTTGGAGTGTCGTCCCATACACTGAAAGGTCGCAGTTTTGATTCCCAGTCAGGGCAGATACCTAGGTTGCAGGTTCAGTCCCCACTCTAGGCGCTTACAGAAGGCAGCTGATGGATGTTTCTCTCTCTCCATTCCTCTCTCTCTATAAATATACCGTTGGGTGAGGACTAAAAAACCTAAAAATAGAACAAAGTCTATTTTGCCTGATATATAAGCATTGATAGCCCAATTTTTTGTTCACATTTTCAGTTGCATTAAATATCTTTTTCCATTCCTTTGCATTCAATCTGTGTGTTTTTCAGTCTGAAGTTGGTCTCTTGTAGACATCAGATGTAAAGGTCTTCTTTTAATCCATTCAGCCACCCTAAGTCATTTGCTTGGTGCATTTAACCTATTTATTTTAAGTAATTATTGATGTCATTTTGTTATATTTTATTATATTTTGCCATTTTATTGTATTGCCATTTCATTATATTTTTATTTTATTGCCATTTTATTATAATTTTTTCCTCTTTTTCTTCCTTCCTCCTTCTTCCTCTTCCTTCCACCTTTTTCTCTTTTACTCCTCCTCCCTCTTTCTGCTTTTTCTTCTTCTTGTTTCTTTAACATTTCTTGCAATAATGGTGTGGTGGCAATAACTCCTCTAGCTTATTTTTTGTCCAGGGAGCTCTTTATCTGTCCTTTGATTCTAAAAGAGAACCTTGCTTGGTAGAGTAATCTTAGTTTTAGGCTTTTGTTTTCATCCCTTTGAACATTTTCTGTCAGTCCCTTCTGCCTGGTTTCTGTTGAGAAATCAGCTGACAGTCTTATGGGAGCTTCCTTTGTAGGTAACTGCTCTGCTTTTCTCTTGATGCCTATAAGATTCTCCTTTGGCATTTTAATTATGATGTGTCCTAGTGTGGGCTTCTTTGGATCCTTCTTATTTGGGCTCTCTGTGCTTCCTGGATCTGGATGTCGTTTTCTTGACCAGGCTGGGGAAGTTTTCCATCACTATTTCTTCAAATCGGTTTTCAATCCCTTGCTGTCTCTCTTCCTCTTCTGGCACTCCTATGATGTGAACGTTGGAATGCTTGATGCTGTCCCAGAGGCCCCCCTAAACTATGCTCATTTTC